AATTATATAAAAAATTACGAATAAGGTCCAGGTGGCTTAGATTACACGATCTGTTTGAGTCATATATTGTTTTTATACCCTATACCACTTTAGTGGGGAGGGTATATTGGTTTTGGTGCTGATGTTTATAAAGCACAATAATATTGGTCCTATACCGACCTTAAAGTGGCTTAGAATCATTTTCTGAAACCTTGTAATCAAACTACAGATCGGAGTTTTTAAGATATTTCAATGAAATTTGGCACATGATCTTCTAGAATCCTATTGGAAAATGGGTAACATCAGTCCAGTGTTTGACCTAGCCCCCATACAAATGAACCCCCCGAATAGGGCTTTTAAGTTCATAATTATGTTCAATATACTCGTATCTCGACAAAAAGCTGCAAAACAAAGTTCTATACTAGCCTTCATGACCCTGATAAATTGTTTGATGAAAAGCCCTCATTTGACCCCTAGCCCTTATACAAAGCCCCCTTCGAAATATGACTTAAATGTACACAATTGTTTTAAAAGAATGGCTAAAGTATATCTGAGACAAGGTACAATGCAACTTAAATGCTATATTATTAACACTAAATCATATTTTATTTTTATAACTGGTGTATAACTTCTGACTTGTTTTATATTCTGTATAATATTCGTAAATATGTATATCTGCTTCGATTTGGACCGGTACCTTCTAGGTAGTATATTTGATTCTTTTCATTACGAAATTATCAAAAACTTGGCTTTAACCGACTATGAAAGTGGTTCTGAACCAATTGTATTTCTTTAAAATAGGTGAAAGACTATTATTTTTGATGTTACAAATATCAACACAAAACCATATACTAAATACTATGTATATACTCATCTGTACGATCTAAAACATTTGTACTTTATAGGAAAGGTAATTAGGTATAAAGTTTTTTTATTATTTTTTAAATAATGAAGAATTTAATTTGATTTTTACTTATTGTTGACAAAAAAAGAGATTTTCTACAAAAGGGCTGATATGGGGGTGAGGGTAAATATGGGCCTATCCTTATTAATGTTGGTAGAGGAATTTACGTCCGGCCCGATCAGTACAAAATTCGGCAATGTCATTTAAACGTCTATAAAACTAAATTTTTGTTGACATAATAGGGTTCGGTTTCAAGGGGCCAAGTAATGGACCGATTTCTAACATCTTCAGTAGCGTCCGTCCTTGGGAAGAGGAGTATGTGCCAAATTTTATCAAATTATTAGCGTGAGCACAAGCTTTACATGGACACACAGACAGACAAACAGACAGACAGACAGACAGACAGACGGACGGACGGACAAATGGACAGATGGTCGAACAAACGGACTCAGAAAGTGATTTTGGGTCTAGCATCAATATTTTAAGGTGTTACAAACATCAGCATAAACGCATAATACCCTCCCCACTATAGTGGTTAAGGGTGGTATAATTATAAGTCTAAAATAATATCCTACCCCAAAGTGAAGGTCGTTTAAAAATATAAAGAAATACATTAAAAATTTTATTAATCACATTAGAAATTTAACATTAAAACAAATTCTTTAAATTTTCCCACAATAACCCACTTTCAAACTAGCAACCAATATAATTAAATTGTAATTTATTTTCATAATTAAATTTCATGACAATCGATTTGGTAACCATTTCAGTTGCTACCTATACATACATAAAAATTTATATAATGTTAATTAAAATACTTTCTTACTTCTAATACAATATGATTGTATTAAAATTTTAATGCACTCATCTATTTTCTTGTTAACCTACAATAAAAATCCATTACGTTTATTTTTTTTTCTTGCCTCCATTTTTAATTTTATTTAACTTTCTGACTTTGGCTTCTTTATATAATACTGCCAACAAGTCAAGAGAAAGATGCAGAAAAATATTAAAACAAAATTAGCAACATTTAATCCTTTTCGAAACTAACCACACACAGTATGTGTTTGTGTATGCAGGAGTGCTCAAGAAGTAGCAGCCACAACATCTTGACATTTAATTACCTTGGCATTAATGTACAGACTAGAATGAATGAACGAACGAATGAATAAAAGTTTGTATTGCAGAAATCTTAAAATCTTTAACGATCTTGATTTTCTTTTTTCATTTGTTCAACGTCATCATCGTCTTTAGCTTTAAACTTTGATGGGATCCGTGAGCTGTGCTCATACACGTACTTTGTGGATAAATTCAGTTGTGTTGTTTTTTTATGTTGTATTTGTAATTGTGGTAAAGGGTGAGGTACTGAAATATAAAACGCATTATGTCAAATGCAATTTAAGTCTTTTTCTTCTCTATTAAAATGGCAATGATTTTTGTTGTTGGTTTTGTTTTTTCACTAGATTTGCTGAAACTTAACGTTACCTTTTAAGCTGAGAAACAAACATGTGAACTAAATATCTGTTCTGGTGTGTGAAATACATTTTGCAGTTTCTGAATATATTGTCAGAAATTTAAAAGAAATAATACTTTGTTTTAAAGAAAATCACTACATAAAATTTTCCAAAACATGTAAGAGATTAGAATCATTTATAACATACATATATAAATTTCATAGATATTTTTGACCAAGTTCAACCCTTTTCCAGAGTGTGTGAATAAAACAAGTTTTATCAAAATATTTTCAAAAATTGTAACTGTTAATAAAAGGGGTTTCATATACAAATATTTAAGATTAACGAATGCAGTCCTCGTTATATAAATTTCCTTGATAATAAATACTTTTTATTTTTTCGTTTTAAAGACGGAAGCAAGAGAAGACGTAGACAGTTGGGAAATTTGTGCTACTTATAAACGTTTATAACTTGTTATTATTATTTTTTTTTTTTGTAGAAGAAACTTCTGATTGTAAAACTATTGTCTAAAATACACATTTGCCTCACTTAACGGCTAACCAAACTAAGTAAATCTCTTTATTTTTTCATTTCTGTTAGAGGTGTAAATTTTCTTAGAAAATTTTATTTATTTATTATTCTTTGTTAGCAGTTATTTTCACTTGTAACGTGTAAGTGTTTGTCTTTTGAGGCTGTCTATTTTTTCTATTTCTATTTTAAGTTTATGGGGGTATGTACTAAGAATTTTCTTAAGAATATATGAAAAAAAATCAAAATTTTCTATATAAAACTATATATTTTTTTCTTTTCTCTATATAGTAGTTTTGTTATGTAAACCTGTTTGTATTGTGCAAGTAAAAACTGTATGGGTGGATGTGGAAAAAAGGCAAAATATCTGTTGTTGACATAAAGTGGCAATTTTAATGTTAAGATAACTACCACTCACTATTCTACACTATTTGTTACACATTTTCAGTGCCCAGCTGTTTTGCGGGGAATAATGTTTTTAGATTTTTTATTAATTTTTCGAAACGAATTTACAAATTTAGGTAAAATAAAAAAGACTATCTATAAAAAGACTATTCTTAAAATATTGGTTAAAATTACAAATTTGAGATAGTCTCTCCGAATTGTGGGGATGTCTGTTAAAATATAGAAACAGAAACCTCTACTTTATACTCGTCAATTCTCGATTAATATTCCAACTCACGTACTCTTACTGTGATTCGTTATACGGGAAATTGTGTGAGTATTGTTCTCTGTATATGAGTGTGATAGTAGTGTGAATGCATGGTTATGTAATGTATGGGGGTAACAGGGTTATGTGATTACAGTTTAAATAAGGTATGTGTTAAATTGCCTAAATGAGCCCATAATAAAGCCACAGAAATACCAACCTAAGGCACTGAAATTTAAAATTGTATAATTAGTTGAGAATAATGAAAATATGAAAGATTGATATCTCGAAATAAATTTGTATAAATATATAAATCTTCAGACGAGTTTAACAAATTTCTATAGTTAGACCATAGAATGATAACACAAAAATTACACTGGTCTGTAAAAAAATTGGTACTTATAGTGAAGATTTCCTTGAGATTTAAGTTCGGTCCCATAAGGGTGAAGCAAAATAGTGAATTACTCGAAATTGTGACGTGATAGGAAGTAATCGAAAGCAGGCGTAGATTCAGTGTGGCAATATATTAAGTTCTATAGCATAGTTTTTTAAAGGAGGATTTCAGTGCAGATCAGTGTTATCAAAGAGTGTGGTTTTCAAGAGAAGTTGATGGCTATAGTTTTTGAGTATTTGATTTTGCCATTCTCAGGTCCAATGCCTCAACTTCTGCTTATCGTTTAACTGGTAGATATACTGCCGAATAAAATAATTTTTGTAAGAAAACTTTCCATAGCTTATTTTTAAATAAAAATATTTATTTAAAAATTATCCAATATTAAAACGTCATATTTATCATTAAAAACTAATTTTTTATCAAAAAAGTTTCTCTAATCTTGACTGTAAATTTTGGCTATCTAGTAATTTAAATTTATTTTATCTACTGCCTCAGTTACTTTTGATTTCCCACCTCTGCCTTAAACAATCAAGGATGTTCAGCAAGAAAGAAAAAATTATATCTCACACATAAAAAAAGACATTTGAAACATTTTTATGTATGTTAAAGTGTTAATGAGCAAAGGAAATTAAGTTCATTTGTAGCTAAAGTAACAAAAAGTTACAACAAAAGCGAAGCGTAAAAAAAATAAAATAAGTTATAAAATTTTCAAATTAGAATTTACATTTTTATAAGATTGTCTGCCTAGTCTACTACTAAAGTTTTTCCGGGGTATGAGTTTTTATATAATTAAGGAAATAACACAGCAAATTACAAAAAAAAAAGAAGCTGAAAATAAATTTAGTTGATGAAAAACGTTTTACATTTCTTATTTAGAAACAGCAATTGTTCTCAAGCGTATGAACATTTCTAATTAAAACACGTTTTTAAATTTAAATGATATCATTCAATTTATATAAAACTGTATTATTTAAACAAATGTGTGTAAAAATGTGTTAAATAATTTTTGCTTAAATAAAAATTTTATTTTAATTCGAATACATTTGTTAACTGCTTGCCTTTCTTCTTTTTTCGCCCCTTTTATTTTTACAGTCTCAACAGTAGCAGTTGAAGCGGTACTGGGTCGTACAGCCACTTTACCATGTGACATCGAACCGGAAGCCAAGGATGATAGAGTTTATATGGTCCTGTGGTTTCGTGAAAGTGCTGGTAAACCACTTTACAGGTAAAGCATTATTACAAATATCATCTCTTATATGAGTTTATAAAAAAATATAAAAAATAATAAAACTAGTGAAACTAAGCACACGATGTAATATGTGGAAAAATTTTCATGCATTTGTAGACAAGACACACACTTTGTTCTTATAGAAATTTATTTCCGCATATAAAAATCTAAAAAATAAAAAATACAGAAAGATGTAAACTAATGTGTAACTTTGGATTTTGAGCTAAATGCAATATTAGATAAGAGTATAAAATGGTTTCCGGTTTTACGATGAAATATTTATGTTTCTATTTTTATTATAAATGAGTTTAGGAAGGAATATGGTTAACTAAGTTTATTGTATTTGTAAGAAATATATTAAAGCATGATAATTTGTTAAGAAAGTTTTAATATAAAAAAATTTTACGACGAAAATTTTAGCACTAACATTATTAAGATAATTATAAGCGTTATAGTAATTTTCTGAACGGGACTTTATATGGCGGGTAGGGTCAATTACAGTCCATTGCTTCCCATATATTACAATATAATTTCTGGGTGCATGAAACAAATTATACCAACTTTTTTCAAGAGAATCAATTTCTTTCATTTTTTTCTCAAAATCACAAAACTGAAGTAGAATATTTATTCTCCTCTTTTTGAAAAGATACATTCATTAAGATAAGAGAGTTTTAAGAGTTAAGATTTCCAAATATCTCCAGAAAACCGATTTTTCCAAAACATTTAATTTTGTTCGATTATCGAGGATCTTCAGAAAATACAATACATTGATTACACAGAAGACAACTATTTAAGTGACAATTAAAAAATCTGTTAAATATATTTGACAACCATAAAATAGTTTCATGGTTTCTATAGTAGAAATAATTGTTCCCTTTAGCCAATATTTCTGCATCCGCAATTATACATTTTCCTAACGCAAACACTTTAAAAACAAAATACAACTAGTTTACAAAAAATTCAAACATACACATGAACACAGAAAAACGGAAAAAGAAACCTAAAATAAATTTACACACATACAAATGGAATTTAATTGGATGTGGTTGTCAGTTTAGTATGCCAGTTATTCAGACACTCAAACCAATACGACGACAACGTGCATAATTTTAACAAGACACCAGAGTAGAAATGTACAAAAGTAAATTCCAAAAAAAAAGAAATAAAAACTCTAACTCTAAAATAAAATCACCAACCAACCGACAAACAACATCAGCACACAGCGATTTCTTTTTGTTACCATATCACACTTGTACAATTTAATACGAACCATAAATTTAACTTCATACCCATGTACATAGGTTTTTGCACTCTTTTCCCCTATCTCTTGAAATAAAGTAAAATATTCTAATTTTCCACTCAGTTAAAATTTTCACATTTAATACTATATATTAGACTGTATATTTGTATCTGAAACAAATGCAAATGTTCATTACAAGAGTCACAGTACATACTAAACTTGTAGCAGTATTTGACGTTTTGCTTTTTATACCATTTTTTTTAAACATGCTGCAAATTATAATCCATGCATTCATATGAATATTTGTACATTCTAGCGACTGGTTAGCTGAATAAGGCTGGTGGTTAAGACTTGATTATTTTTTTTGTTTGTCAGCTGGATTACGTGTAACATTTTATTGTTACACCTTTTAACTTTTACGTATGTATTTACATTATACATTACATGTGTTACTCACTGCATTCATCTAGCTACCTATTCATATTTAAATGTAAAATACGAAATACATTCTTATACATACGTAATTATGTATGTATTACAACTGGCCCTATATTTGTATATTCTCTATATAATGCAAACAATGGTCGCTAGATTTATGATTACTGTGGGCTAAAATTGAAAACAGTTTCAAGAAGTTTTGCTTCAGTTTTAGATTTTTGTTGCGTTGATTATATAAACATGAAAGGATGAATTTTTATGAATCCACGGGAATATTTTTTTGGAATTCCGTTCAACAATTTTTTCATAAATTTTCTAAAAATATCTGAAAAGTTTAAAAAATCTCTGCACAAAAAAGTAAGAAGTTATAGTCTGAAGTGGCCCACCATGTGATACCCTACACCAATTATGAGAATATAATGTGATCATGCCTCCGATATATTTTTGTAATTGATTGATAAAAAAAATTCTGAAAGAGGCTTTATATGGGGACTAGGAGATAATATGAAGCAATCCTTATTAAAATTGGCGGATGGATTAACGTTTACACGAAATGTATTTATGCTGAAGTTATTCGATTTGTGAATTGTGGACATTTCAGTCATTATCTGATATGGGCTAGGAACAAACGAGGATCGATCATTACAAAATTCGGCAGGGCCATTTATGGTACGAGTGTATTCAACATACATGGACGGACGAAGTACAGACAGACGAATGGACATGGCTTAATCGACTCAGAAAATTATTCTATGCTTAAGTCAATTATGAACCGAGCTCTTTGAATTAACAAAATATTTATTTAAACATACATACATATGGTCAGTACGATCAGTTATGGACCGATTTCTGAAGGTGATCTTATATGCGGCTAGGGTCAATAATGAATCGCTCATAAAAGAGCGTTGAAGTAATTTTCTGAGGAGGACCTTATATGGGGGCAGGCGCGGATACACGGGGGAAAGAAATTACAAGCCCCCCCCTAAACCGAAAATTTTTCATACAAAATATAAAAATGAAGAAAAAGGAAAAAAGAAAATAAGTAAATAAGTAAATTTTCTGAAGGGGACCTTATATGGGGACTAGGGTCAATTATAAACCGATCCACATAAAATTTGTCAAAGAGATTTTGACACATAAGAAACTTACTTATGTCGAATTCGTCATCGCTATACTCGTACTTTTAAGCCAGTAATGAGCGATAAAGTCATTTTCTGAAGGGGACCTTATATGGGGAGTAGGGTCAATTATGGACCGAACTACATAGAATTTTGTAGTGAGATTTCATCGTATTTTTAAGCCAGTAATTAGCTTTAAAGTAATTTTCTGAAGGCTACCTTATATAGGTGGTAGGGTAATTTATGGGCAGATCCTCCAAGAAATTGGTAGAGTGATTTCGCCTCGCATAAAACTGATGTATGTAGAACTTCATCGCAATATTCGTAATTTTATGCCAGTAATGAGCGTTATAGACATTTTCTGAAGGGTACATTATATGGGGGATAGAGTCAAATCATGTGAAATTGGTAGATAGATTTTGTATCATATGAAACATCTTTATTTCGAATTTCATGAGTATACTCAAAAAGTTATTCCCGTTAATGCTGTTTTTCGGGGATCCACTTGTATGGATGTTATCCGAAAACGTAGACCGATATTGGCTATTTTCAATACCAAATAGACCTTATCAATAGAGACTATTTTTGCAAAATTACAGCAATCTAGCTTCTCCCTTGTGGTCTCTATCGTGATTTTAACAGACTAACGGACAGACAGACGGACGGATGAACAGATGAACAGACGGACGAACTTGACTAGATCGTCTTAGAATTTAATTAACACCTAAATATAAATACCATTATTTTTTATATTTTATTTTTCTAAAAATAAGGCTGGCTTCCAATTTACTTAGTACATTTTACATCGATATGCCCGAAATAAAATAAGGCAAATTTGGTAAATGCAAATCCAACAGCCTTGATATGAATATCCAGTATTTTTAATTTTAATTTGCCACTTATTTTGTCTTTCCTTCATCACTGTACTCTTTTTAGTTCATCTACATATATATGCAAATTTTTAAAATTTTTCTATTACTGGATTTACAAAATTTTAACTTTACTACTAACTACTCTGTTGGTCATATGTTAACCTCTTTTTTTACACTTAAATCAACATACTCGTACATATTCTAAGTACACATACGTACATATACAATTGTGTACTTATGCACTATACATAGTACATTTACATTTGTATAAGTGTTCATTTATATTATGAATTCTCTATTATTTGTTGAACTATATGCATAACCATATACTCATGTGTTCTAGTAATGGAGCGCTTTTGTAACCAAGTTAATTTGCCATAAACCAACTTTAGATTTCTCTGTCTTTTTCTATGTCATACATTTTGGAAAACACTACCTATTAGTTGTTACTGTTTAAAAAAAATAAATTTGTAAAAAACCAAAATAAAACGAATACTTAGAAACAAATAATTTTAAAAAGAGTTGAAATGTTAATGACATGGTCAAAGGACCATTATGAATAGCTGTGGTAATAATATGTATGTGTGTATGGCTGCTGTTGTTGGAATGTATAAATGAGTTTCTATAGTTTGGTGAATATTTTTACATAAATTGTTTTCAAAAGATTTTAGATTGCTACTGATGATAGTTATTTTTAGGAAATAAAAGAAATGCTATTTATACAATTGCTTCATGTTTATTTTTAAACTATAGTTTTGATTTAAATAACATTTAAATCGTTGTTAAGCTGTAAATGAGAAATATGGGAGAAACTCTGAACCTTCAACATTTCTTTCCCATTGATAGATTACAATGCCCAACAAAAATAATTTATTGGAATAATTTAAATCCATGGATATAATAAAATCATTACTACCTCTATTCTTAATATAGCTACCCTTCAACTCTTCCAAAAATAAATTTAGTTCTTACAGCTGTCAATATTCTCAATCAAATATAACACACAAATTAACATAATTCCATTTAAGTAATGAGAAACCTCATTTCCAATAGCGTAACAAACAATTATCTTAAAAATATGTTACTAACGAAAAACTGTCTTAATTCAATAAAAATACATCAATTTCACATGATTTATGTAATTTTAGCTCTACATGCCTGCTCCTTGACTAGTTCAATGTAGAAAACAAAAAATTCCACCAATACTAATTATTACACCACCCATTGTCTTTATAATACAAAATAAATGGTTATAATTTAATTTATTATTTACTAATAATATCAATATTAATGTAAAAACATTATTACAAAGAACCAGAACTGTAAACA